GCATGTTTGAGTGTCCTTCATGGCAAATGTCAAATCACATGAAATGGAGGCATCGTGTATTGGAAGCAGTTGGAAATAAGGTAGTCACATATTTAAACAAATCTATGTCTTAATGTTGTAAATAACAAAACTTTAACGGAGGTGTTGACGCATATCGTTTGTTCCGTGATCCCTCCACATTTAGCTCAGACAAGAATTCTCTGACATTTGGTACGAAATAAAGTGCCAAGAACTTGTGAGAACTGGAGCAGAGGAAATCCACGTTGAAATACACATCCGCTGACCAAACGGATGGCCAATTTGTTCGCAGTGACATCGGAAGAACAGCAATGGGATCGGTTATATTTGTTCACAATAAAACGCACCCACTTTAACACTTTAAAATGATTACTCAAGTTCACACACACCCACATTGACGCGCGATCGCCAATCTACATCACCCAACGATTTCCTATCTAAGCAAATTCACTTGTCAGGAGCTACCTTGAATACCATCTGCACAATGTAGTCGGTCTCGGCGGCCTAGTTCCAACCACTTACCTATTGAATCACGAATGCCATTCAATGAAGATCTTACCTCAAGCACGCACGCCAATGAAGGCATGTCTGAAAGCCATTCCCACTTCGAAATTAGACGTGATCAAGAATGTTCAGTGGTTAACTCATCATTGGATGAACTTGCGGCGCAACAAAACACAAAACCTCGAACTGGGATCACCACCGCATTTGCATTCCTTTTGTCATCATTTAGTGTTACCCTATGTGTGTTCTAGTGATGAGGGCTTACCACAACTTGCGCAGCCACTTTTCTGGGTGGCGCACATATACGCACGCTAGGTTGCAATCGCCGCCACCGAGTCCTTAGTTCCTACAACTCGACGACTTGACCACGATGACGTGTTTAAAATTGTGGCGTGACATTAAAAAAGCACACAGTTTGTTTGTAATGAAATGAAATATGGCCTCGGTTACTCGCCTTCTTCCGATACGCGTACTCCCAAATGGCGCCAGATTTCGGTGTGGTCCTGACTTGTATATCGCATACGCCAGTGTGCAACCCGCCAAGAACACCAACTTTTTTCGCTTCGGCCATCAGTCGTAACGACATTAGCTGAATTAGTGCATTTGAGATGTTGGAGTTTACGTGAGTGCTAAGCAGGAAGTGACTCTGCATCACTAAAAGTCATGTGTTTACCCTTGAGTGGTTGTTGAAGGCGGCTTGCGTAGTTACTTTTGGGTTGCTTTATTGAGTCTCACATAAGGAAGGGCAAGTTGCCTGGCACGTAGTGAATGGGCCTTGGTAATGATAAAGATCTAACATTTTATTAAACACCACACCTGTTCGGGCCAGTTTCGTAAAAGGTGAGGCTGCCGCTTGACCATAAAAGTAATGGGCCTGGTGTCTTACCTAGTTTCACTTAGCTTCATGTATTTAGGAATATTTCCAATTAACACCTAAATTTGACCCAATTAAGAGAGATTCTGAATAGGTTTGTTACTTCAAGGAACAGTGAACACGACCTCACTGTCGTTAAGAGGCTGCACCCACATTAAGGCTTTTGAGCACTCCAACAAGATTCGCGCGTTGACGGGATGCACAAGTCGGCCGCTTTTGCGAACGAGTTACACGAACGCCCCGGAACCTCGAGGACAATTTCATCGGGTAGAATTGCGAACCAGAGAAAGTTGATCCACTGCACGTGGGTGCTAGCTCATTGTTGACAACCTTCTAAGTATGACGCACCTACGAAAAATGGCAAAATAACACACCACCATCGTGTTCAGAGGCTCGACCCCTACATCGTGACTCCAACATAAACATAGTGCAAGTGCAATTCCTCTCACTAAAATTAAGGATTTTTGATGCGTGTGAGGGGTAGGCTCAGCCAGTTACGCCTATAAGACGCCCAACATTTTCAAAATTTATTGTGCCGATTACGGTTACATTATATGAGTAGGAATCGTTTTTAGTTGTGGGCAAATCAGTACTGTGCATGTCGACTTTTCGGTCACGTTTTATCATAGTTAGGGGACGCTTTACAGTATCAACCAAAAGCTGGAAGCAACTCTGATGTATTCGTTTAGAATGAATGTTTCAAGCGCTAACCAAACATGCTGTGAATGAGAGTTATGCGTAAACAATATAGCAGAAATGTAAAGGAATGAAACCGGTCATGAAGACGTTTTTCATTTGGATATAGGGGACTAATTCCCATCTTCCAAGATTGTCTCCTGAAGCACAATGGCTACAATTACTTTCATATCAGGCTAAACAGAAAATTTAGTATCCAAAACCATGCTCGATGCTGCCAGATAACAACATAATGGCCATTGTTGAATAAATGGTCTAGTTTATAATTTGCACCATAGACAGGCGAAAGAATGACCTTGTCCTAACTATCAGAGCAAAACGCAGCGGCTCTTGATTGGCTCTCAAAAGACCAATCACTGGCGACTTGATTCAAATGATTGGTTCAACACATGTGAGGCTGTCCTCAGCTTCTCACAACAAGAAGCGTGTTGGGTAGCTGGTTCTGCATATTCTGATTAGGCTACTTGACAACTCAAAACAGGCATTTCCTAAGCCGAAGGATACAACGCAAGCATTTGTGCAAAAACTCTTCGACTATAATCCATTCTAAAAATTTGACTTTTACCCTGCACAGAATTTCGCTATAACCAAGGGATTTATTTCGTGTTAATCAAGTTATCAACAGTGCTGTGTTTTAATGGATTTGGAGAAATTTGCCGACTAGCTAGAGGGACAAAGATTTCGTAAACACGTAGCTTAGGTAATATAAATGTGATCGTTTGTAAGTCATGTTTATTTCGGTAAAAAAACCTCAAGAATAGCATTAGCAAAGAGAATGTGAACCAATTTAACCCTAAATACAGACTCACCGTGAATCCCATTCCATTTGCTTGCATTTGGAAAGCGCCCGGTAGGCAGAATTGAAACGCTTAAAGAGTAGTGGCGAGGCCACGTGATGGATGAAAGCACAAACTAAGAAGCTAGTGAGGATGATAACATGAAAATCCTTCAGTTGCATGGCTGACTGGGAATCCTCCACAGCCCGGGCGTTTGATAGGTCCTCCATAGTGCTACTGGAGGTTAAACGTGCTCCTACCGGACGTGCGACCCTCGCGACCACGCTGATCTTTTGACGATGAACCAATCAGGACTTAAACCGGGTTGACCAATGAATACGGAGAATCGGTAGCGAGGTTTTTAGGCGTCATGTGTGCGCGCAAAACAAGAGTGAACGCGTGCAGCCATGCCTGACGTGGCGGGCGTGAGGCGTGCCTAAATCGTTTAGTGTAAATTTGTTAGACATGGGGGAACTCGGGGCCAGCGCAGACGATTTAAGTGGCTCGAGGGACTGAAATGTTTTGTCGCAAAATGAGTTCCGAATATCTGCAAATGGATCAGTTTTATCCAGAGGCAGCCAGCAGTGATCTCTAAATTTTGTGGCTAACGCATCTTGGATTCACACTTCAGGTTTTACGTCATTTCAGTTCATTTCGTATATAAGTGATGTGCCTCGGTATGTATGGAAATGATATTTTTCAAACGGTCTGCTGCTTTAACCCACTTTCTCTGGTTGGATAGTCCCCTTATCCTTATGGAATTTCCTGTAAAATTGTCGCAGTGAGGCACCTACACATCTATGTTTATTACAAATCATAACAGCGCATGGCGCACAGAATCTCGGAGGTCAAGTTAGCGTAGAAACAGGTATGAATGACACTTAAGGTGTTTACCAAATGTGGGTTCATATAATCTACCAGTTGTCTTGGCTCAGTGGCGCCACAGACTTTTGTATAACTTGGGACTTTACCTGCGCTTCTGCTAGTTCCATATTTACCGGTGGTCTTTCGTTTCACTGCCTCTGTGATCAATTGTAGAAACTGTTGATTTGAAGATCTATGTGTATAAAACTAACGAAAAGATATTGGGGAATCGAATCCTAGGAAATTAATACCTGTCCTGTGGTATAAACTTAGCTCTTAAATCCTCGCTTCAATACTTGCAGGTGACATGAAGTTTGACAAAAAATTCATGCTACAATAAAAAGATGGATTTATAATGCTTAATGGGAAATTATCTTATTTTGTGATACACAGGTTCCGATCCTCCATTCACAGAATTACAACACGAGTTAAAATCTTGGCAATGCATCCACGGGGAATTGGGAGAAACCAAACCATTTATAAATAGTTTCGATGGTGTCTTCATAACCAGCTCCACAGAGGTCTGCTTACCTCTTAATAGTGCTCCACATGTGACCCGTTCGTTTTGCCACACTATTGAACTGGCTCACCCATCAGCGTTAGCCCATCGGAGAATACGTACTCGGCCCTAAGCCTTATCATAGTCATAATGTCCCTACACCTGAAAGAGTCATAAATTCATGTGTCTTTAAGCGTGACCTTACTTCCATCCTTGAATCTAGAAAATATAGCACGTAAATTCTAATTGTCAGTGACGTTTAAGGAAACGCAAACTAGATGGTTTCACAAGTTCGTGATCAAATTTAAACCAAATTTATTGCTAAATAGTTGCCTATGTAAAAATATTTCTACAACAAAAGGTACTCTTCAGCATTTTTCGATTCCTTCGTAAAAGCTGGATGGCTGCTTTTTGAAGAAGGTCTCAAGGTAGTTTTTGATTTCG